TCCTAGAATGGTCTGTGATTATGGATTTATTATTTGCATACTGATGTTATTTTATTTTTCTTTATCCTTCATAGCACTATTTTAACATTCAACTCATTTGTGCTTGCCAAGTTTGCTCTTGGCTTTAGAAAAATTATTCAGACAATGAATTTCTACTTCTCACAGACAATTTCTTTCCTACATTGAAATATGAAAAATCACATGGGTGTTCAATGAACATCTGAAGTTTATTATTCTATTATTCTACAAAGTAAAGGAACTTCATGCTGTGATCTCAGATAGGGTTCAGTTGTTTGTAAAAAAAAAAAAACCACACAAAAAAAAAAAAAAAAAAAAAAAAAGCACAGTCCATCATAATAAAGGGCTGAATAAATGTTTACCATCATTATCTCATAAAAAAAATACATATGCTTGAAGCAAGTATATAAATGAGATCGGATCAGGAAGAATGAATGAAGTTGGGCTGAAAAATTAAAAGGTAAACAGGTGTATTTATTTCCAAGATTTTCTTTCTGTCTCTTTCCTTCCCTTCCTCCCTCCCTCCCTCCCTTCCTTCCTTCCTTTCTTTCTTCCCCTTCTATGGGGCACCTATCTGGTTTACTCAGGTGTGAAGAGATGATTCTTGTGGTGGCTTTATTTTCAAGGAAGTACATAGTTTATGCACAGTAATTGTCTGCTTTGGAAAAGCACTATATTTTCAAGGCTCCTACTTTCACAGCTATTTTACTATTTATTATATTGTCTTTTCCTTATAAATACCTGTACGACATTCCAATAAGCAGGCAGGAATATAACCAAATGGAATCTTCTGAAATACCGTCAAGAAATAGATTACACTGGGTCACAGCAAAGGATCATAAAGCACACAACATGGCCATACACACAAACACATGTGCACACATCTGAACACATTCATGCACACACAAGAATGAGATCTTACATTTTAAACACCCAAACAAGTCCTTGACAAAAGCATTGACAGATATATGTTAAAATTTAGAGTAAACAACAGAGATCATTTGAGGCATTTTTGTGTTACATATTGCTCTAGTCATTAAGAATTTGAAAGCTACCTATTTTTCTCAAATATTGACTTTTCAAATTACAAAGTATGCTTATTGCCTGATAGAATAGATCACATGAATTTTTAAATCATTACCTAGAATGATTTTGCACTCAAAGATTAATAACACTAAATAAGCTGATATATTTTAAATAATTTAGGACATTAGTGGAATAGTAGAATTTACCTTAATACAGTCCTTTTGGATGCATACAGTCAATAATTGAGACAAACGGAAAAATAAAGGAATCAAATAAGGGTTGAGAGCATACACAAATTGTAATTCCTATTCTAAGAAGCATATCTCTTATCATTCAGAGTTTACACGAAGAGAAATGCCTCCAAGAATTTGGATTCTCCCCCCCCCACTTTTTTTTTTAATATTCTGTTTTATTTTTTAAATGCTGGAGGGCATGTGCACTCACCAGAGAGAGACAAAGAGAAAGAGAGAGAGGGAAGAAGGGAAATAGGACCCCTCAATGGGGTACAGTCAAACCACTCTCTCTTCTACATTTCTCTGTCCTTTTGGGATTCCGGCCAAGCATGCACATGAATACACCACGTTTTTCAATCTGCCAGGCCAGGATTCAAATTGCAGGTGGCCATGTGGGACCCAGCTCCCTTAACTGCCTCACAATTTGAGCATTTCCTACAATTGAAAAGGAAAGAGCACTAAATAAAATAGAGACTTTCGCAATGCTCTTAACCAAAGTTGCCTGATTCTGTAAGCCTGCTGGTTAGTTCCCAAACATTTTGGGGGAAGAACTCATATTTGTAGTCCAGCTGAAGAAGAATAGATAACTAACAGCTACCAGAAATATATTTCAGAAATCCAGTGTTCATGGTGCTTCTCTCTAGAGTACTTAGCAAAGGCAATTTTTGAACACTAAAATTTTTCCCTCATAAGGAAAAGCTGCCACATGTAATGTCATAAATTACATGTTTTTCCTTCTCTTTACAAAGTCTACCAAGCTTAAAGTGAATCTGTAGGGGATAGTAGTTTCTAAATCACCTCAAAGTCAAATACTTTCTTTCTCATCATCATTTATGAAACACATTAGTAACCTAAACCTGACTGAACCACACATCAGATTTAAGAGAAATGAGATCCTGATTAAACACCTGGATCTCTTTAATAGCAACTTCAATATAATCATGAGTAACCACAGAGCTTTAGAATATTAAAGTAAGAACGTGTGATCCCAAGTAAAGCTTCAGAGGAACACCTCTAGTATCATTCGAGGTTTGGGGTTTGGAATGCAATAAATTAATAGAGTATGGACTGAAAAGGCATTTACATTCCAGCACCTGCCACTCATTAACTATTTGGGCAAGAAATTGAACCTCTCTGAACTCCGATTTCTTGTCCGTAAAACAAGAAAAATACCCCCCATGTGAATATAATTCACATAATATTGTAGCAGCATCAGAAGTGGAAGTGGTAGAAATAAAACTCATTTTTTGAGTTTGTATTTCGTTCTACGAAATGAAAACAGCAGGTGGGATTCCATTTTGAGGAAGCTGAGTCTCAGAAATAAGAACTTGCACAAGGTTGCACACATGTTAGTAGCAGAATCAAAGTGTGAACACCAGTTACTCTGACTCCAAAGGTCACAAGCTTGAGCCCATCTCAGACTGCATTCACAGGATCATCTGGCAAGCTAATGCTGTCAACATCTCACTGTTAATGGTCAAGTGCCGCACAATGTCATGCATTACGACTGTTTTTTCAGTTGCTAAAATGTATTTTCTGCCAAGTACATAAAACTGTTCTAAGGACCAACACATCAACTTAAGAAACTAAGGAATAGCCAAAAATAAATATGCAACTTGAGACCTAAGGCAATGGAAAAATATGAAAATTAACTTTAAAATAGATACGACAGTGGGTGACATCATTCTGTACACTTGTGCATTCACACACATCTGCAGAGAGTCCCAACCCACAAACATCAAATCTCTCTCAAGGCACCAGTGGAAATAGCTGGAATCATTACAAAAACCTGGGAGGGACCAGCAGTTAGCGTAATGGCTATGTCACTGGACTCCCACATAGTTGACCGTGGTTCGAGTCCCAGACCCAGTGGCTTAAAACTCACGCCCGGGTGCGTGTGCATTCGTGCCCAAGATCCTGAGAGGAGAATGGAGAAGGGATTGCAGCATGGCAATCCCCCCTGGGGGGTGATTTCTCGCTTTCTATCTCTCTGTCTCTCTCTGTCTGTCTGGCAAGTGCACGCGTCCTATAGCAAAAACCTCTCCAAAAAAAAGAAAAAAAGAAAAAGCTGGGAGAGTTCTTGTGTTGTGGGTCATGGCTCTATAAGCTAACACTTATGACTGGGCAGGTCGCTCACAGTGGGTTATTAGCAACACAGGGCAAGCGTGTTAGGCTGCAGATAGCCTGTGGCCAAGTCCCCCAGGGATAACAGAGCAGCAAGCTAGCAAAGCTGAGCAGTTGTGCACTGTCAGAACCTCCTCTAGAGTTGAAACACTTATGGCAAATTAGAAAGCTTACAAAGGCATACGTACACTGTCATAATTTATCTAAATATTTAAAACAGAGGGAAAATTTTATTTACCAAGGACAAATAAACTGAATTATAATTAAAGTTACATGTTATTTGGTTGCAAATATTCATCCCAGAACTAAGTTTACTTTTGAATGAAATGAAAATGCAAAATAAATAAATAAGTTCATTCAATAATTAAATTAAATTAAATTGATCTCTTTGGGCTGGTCCTGCAGCTCAGCAGTTAGGTATTGGGTATGAGGTGTAAGATTCCACATGGCGAAATGCAGTTCATATCCCAGCCCTGATGACCTGAAATACCATGTGCATAGTATGTGCAGGCCCCAAATCCTGACCAGCTGGAGAAATGGACAAAAAAGGACAGCTTTGTGATCATAACCTTATGGCCTTATGGAACATTCTCTCCTTTTCTCTCCCTCTCCCTTCCTCCCTCCCTCCCCTCCCCCCCCTCTCTCTTTTTCTCTCTCCCTCTCTCTGGTGAGCTCATGAGCTATCTAGAAATTTAAAAAGAAACTGATCTCTCGGGACCAGCAGTTGGTGTAATGGCTATGTTGCTGGACTCTCATGTAGTCAACCATGGTTCAAGTCCTGGGCCCAGTGGTTTAAACTCATGCTGGGCACGTGTGCGTGCGTGCCCAAGATCCTGAAAGGAGAATGGAGGAGAAGGGATTGCAGTATGGCCATACACCTGGGGGGTGATTTCTCGCTTTCTGTTTCTCTCTGTCTTTCTGGCAAATGCATGCACCCTATAGCAAAAACCTCCCCCCACACGAAAAAAAAAAGAAGGAAGGAAGGAAGGAAGGCAGGCAGGCAGGCAGGCAGGCAGACATTGATTTCTATACTTTTCTTCTACAAGTCTATTTCATTTTTAAATCATTCTCACTCCTTCCAGGGTCTCTATGCCACCCCAAGCTACTCCATCTCAGGAAGAAAAGCCCCAGAAGTCCCTGCCATCCTCCCTCTCTTTGCTGTGTTGCTGCTTTTTGTTTTTTCTAGAAGAGATTAAATAAAACCCTAAGGCCACAGCATTTAGTAGCATAGATTTTTCACTGCATAATCTCACATGATTCCCTTCCCAGAAATGATCTCACCAAGACCTCAGACATGTGCCATGCACATCTGTACCACCACATTTAGCCCTGTGTATAGATCCAAGACTAACAGGTATAATGTATTTTTTCATCTGTTCATTTACTCATTCAACTCAATAAATATTTATTGTATCTGGAATGCACCAGACACTGAGGGAGCATGGGCAGATATTCAGTAAATAACAATGTACAATTGCTGTCCTCAAGAAACTCACAGTCTAGACATGTCAACAATAAGTAACATTAGGGCAAAGCATGCTAGGCCTGGGACATAAACCGATGCAGTCTTGGCATCTGAGAACAGATAGTACACCTTACCACATTTGAGTTGACCTTATGTCGAAAGCATGTGATGTTCACCACATAAGGCCAATCGTCAGGTTCCATCAGTACCCCAGCAGCATGGGCACAGGTGACATGGAAAGAGGCAGGGCAGCGGCCATAGGAACACTGGATGCAGGCTCCAGAGACCTTCTTAACCCGTTGTCTGCAGAAGATGCATTTCTGGAAGGTTGGAACAGAGAAGACCATCAATTCACACTCTATAACTCTGCCAATTTCCACACTTCACAGAGTAGCAGCTATTAGAGATGAAGGGGGGCTGATTACATCAACAAGTGCTGACTCTCCAGGGGCCCTAGCAGTAAGAGCATCTGCAGCAATACAATCTGCTTACTTTAAAGGAGACACACTTCTACGGACACAAACTAGCAGACACATGTTTAAATATGCCTCGTGCTTAGGAAAGCTAAACTCTTTTGCGCAAGCTCCTCCAGGCAAAGAGCTCAGGAAAAAGGCCCCGTGGTTATTCCTATAAATCACCCATGAGTGCTGAAACTAACTCTGTTTTACCTCCTGTATGGAAGGACTCTTTGTATATCAAGAGATAAAATATGTGTTTAGAGGACAGGCCCATACAATCCTAAATTAGATGAGGTCTTCTAAACCACCCAAACAGCATGTAGAAGGGTTCATTTTCCATTTACAAGGAACTGTAAAGTGTTAAATGGTCCAATGTGGAAACTCAGGGCTCAAGTGTTTAATAATCCAAAGCTGAACTCTTCATGACTGACACAAAAATATGCCTCTCAAAGTGAGGAAATTGAAAATCACCCCAAAGGGCATAATTTTGCTGAACAACTATAGCTGATGATGCCTGAGAAAGAGATCATGAAAATAAAAACAACAATAATGATTACCACAATCTGAAAATTAAATTGCATACAATTAGCCCTAAACATTATCAGTACATTTGTTGTGAGAGATAGAAAAAAATCGAAGAGCTTCACTAAATGTAAGAATTGTGAGTTAATACATGGGGTTAGGAAAAATGGCTGTAGAACAACATAGGGTCAGGTTTGGGAAGAACAAGAGACAGAATGATCAAAAAAGTTTAACTTTTCATTCCTACAGGTAAAAAAGGTGTGATGTGACCAAATGATGGCACAACTGTTCTTTTATAAGTACATTTTCCTTCCTAGGACCAAAAAATGACACTTAAACTCAATGCCTTTTGAGGGGACTGTAATATTTTTAACACATACCTGTAAGAATCATTGTGCACTTAACTTCTGATTCTTCTTTACCCTAGCATCTACAGTGACTCCGTTTTATAAATTCTGTTCCTTAGTCTTGCTCTGATCTCTTTCTACCCATCTATAGCAACTACCATTGTCTCTGCTCATGGTGTCTTGTCCAACATAGTAATGATCTCATAGCTGGTCTCTCCATCTTCTATTTCATTTCATTTAGATTCATCATCCCCAGGATGGCCAGAGTGACTCTTTACAACATAAATCCCATGTCACTTCCCTGCTTAATATTCATCAATGCTTTCTCCTTGTCTCCAAGTTATTTGGAATGGGGAGAGAGGGCAGGAAAGAATAGCATAAGATGAAAGATCAAAGCTTACAAAAGGTCCTTTTCAGTATATTTGAAAGATCTTATTTCTCACTAGTTACTATAAGGGCCTATATTCTAGGCACGTAACTGATGCTCCTATATATCCAGATTCAATGTACAATTAAGCATTTTTAGGTGGGTGGTTGAGGATGTGGCTTGGAAAATTAAGAGATACAACAGAGAAAGAGAGAGAGAGAGAAAGAGTATCAAAGAACTAAAACAAAACCCATATAATTCACACAAAAGTATTACTTCATATCTTTTCTTGGTATTTTTGTCAATCCTTGCTATCTGTTTAAACACATTCTTGATAACTCTTATATTTTTGGAATTATTTTATTTAATTTTATTAATCTATTTTTTTTTATTTTGACCAAAGAAAAAGAGAAAAATAGAAAGAGAGAAAACAAGAAAGTAAGACACCAAGTCTGGACTTGAACGGCAGTAGGGCATGTGGTAGACCAGCACCTCAACCCTCATGCCACCTACTGGACCCATCCTCAATAATTCTGATATTTTGGTATACTTTTGTCAATTCCAATAATTTTACATGTTCCAGGAGATATAATGGCAAACATTCATATAAGAAGCTCAAGGCATAATCAGACGGTCTTTTAAAAGCTTAATTATATTGTACATTATAAAAGTCAATTGTTTGAATAGTTCAGATATTGATGGATGCACACAAAATGAAACTGTTTCCTATTTTCCTAATTAAATAAGATCTTTCAAAGAGTAGGAACAAGTGCTATGACTTAGCTAAGTAAAGAACTGACACTTTCCAGCTTCTGTCACCATTAACTCCTACATAAAACTGAGGCCCTCAGAAAAGGGAGGAGGCAGAGAGAATACACATAACTCCAGTGAAGAAAAAATCCTTAGAAAATAAGAGAGAATGTATCCTCTCCAAGAAAGACCAGAACTGGTCCTTTTTAGACTAGAAGCATGATATCCTTAAAAACTTAACCTAACTAGACTACAGTAATTCAATGCTTTGGAAGATGCTTATTCACAGAGTTGAGAAATTGACTTATACGTCAAGTGGGTTCTTGCAGAGACAAACAACTCCATAAAACCTATGTGGGAAGCCATTATGAATGTATCCTATATACAATCTACACAGTATTTCATTTTCATGTGTTGCTATTAGATAAGTTTTCCTCTACTTGAGCTTAAACAACTGTGAAAATTTGACACCATCACGTATGGTGTACAGACGCTAATTCAATAAGTAAGAGACAGCTAAAATGAATAAAGTGAATAAAATTCTAAAGAATGTTACAAAGGAATAACTGCTATAAAAAAAAAAAGTAGGGACAAAAATACTATATACAATCAGAACGGGCAATGAGTCACACTTAGCAGTAATAGGGGGAAGAAGGCATTAGAGCAAAACAAAGAGTGGGCCAGCTGATAGCATGGTGATTAAGGCAGCTGGATCCCACATGGCGAACTATGCAGTTTGAGTCCCAGACCTAGTGACCAAAAAACACACCAGACACATGTGCATGCATACATAAAATCCAGAAAGGGGGCAGAAGTGGAAAAGAAGGGACTGCAACGTAGCCATCCCCCATGAGGGGTGCTTTCTCACTTTCACTCAATCTTTGTCTTTCTCTGGTGAGCATATGCACATTCTGAAAAAAAAAAAACCTTGAAATAATAAATTTATAAAAAGTCTGATTGGGTTTTGATGGTAGACATAACCCCTGTTACCACCTTTCCAGCCCCAAACTCTAAAGAAATATATAGGAATAAAACCATAGTAACACTGACAAACAAGAAACAGAACCATCAGAGGACTAGAACATGTGTGGAATTCTAGATCATGGGAAACAGATGGAACTAGATTAACAGAAAAACCAAAGTAGATAAGCACTAATCCAAAAGAACAAGCAAAGGCTACTGAAGTTACAGTGAGAAAATTTCTCAGCCCTAAAGCCTCAAAGCTACCCCAAAGAAAGAATCTAAAATTACAAAAAGAGAAAACCCTGAGTCAACATGTGGTAATTACTCAGAATGTTATTAACTAGATGTTTCTAAAGATCCTTATAGGAAGATTTGATAGGCACGAATGTCCAACAGCTAGAAGGTTTTCTCTTTCC